GGTCAGCTAGGGGAGGATCCATGAGCCCCAACTTACAGCTAAGAGGAGGCTGACTGGTGGGTGTGGGGCTGCTGAGCCCCATCCACTTCTGGCTGCACTGCTGGGCCTGGCCCGCAGGGCAGTCAGCCCGGTCCTGAGGAAGGGGAGATGGGCCGGGGCGGCTAGTCAGGCTGGGGATGCCCCTCACTTCTCTGACAGGCCTGGCCATCTGGAAGGTTCGTGGGCACCTGTGCTCGGGCAAACCCACGGCGACATCAGCAGAGGCGCCCTCGTCATCCTCAGCGCCCTCCCCAGGCAGGCCGGTCTCTGCTGCTGGTGCTGCTTCACCTTCAGCAGGCCCCTGGCTCTCGGACTACCGTGTCGGGGGAAGTGTGTGTATTTGTTAGTTGCCATCACAGTTGTAACAACGACAGCAAATGTTCAGTGAGCACTTACTCTGCACCAGCTGCCAGGCTGAGCACTCCGTCCACTAGCTCACTTGGCCCTCCCAGCGCTCTGGGGGGCTGGACAGTCACTGTGATTGCCCCCCTCTCGCAGATGAGGCACTGAGGGCTGATAACTTGCTGTGAGTGGCAGAACCAGGGGCATGAGGCTGGGCTGCTGGACTCAGTCCCTGGTGGTAACACCCTCAGCATTTTGGTGTTGCCACCTCATTGACAATCTCTGTTTACAGACGACCAAGCTGAGGCTCCAAGAGGCTGCTGAGATCACAGCCAGGATTCCCACCCTGTCTCCCCTGACGAGAACACCCCACTGGCTGCCCAGCCCGACCCCCCTCACTAAAACACATTGGGGTGTGCAGGGGGCCACCTTTGGTTTTGTTTGGATTCTCCAGGGTTGGTTGAGTCCAGAGCACCCTCAGGGCATAGGACGGGGCGTGGGGGATGGTAAGCTCTGGCTGCGGGCTGCTCCCTCAGGGCTCCCAGTGCCCAGGCCCCGGCCACCCTACCTGTGTATTCAGGGAAGCACATGGTCAGCGGGGACTTCTTGATCTTCTCCTCGAACAGGTCCTTCTTGTTGAGAAACAGGATGATGGACGTGTCCGTGAACCACTTGTTGTTGCAGATGCTGTCGAACAGCTTCAGGGACTCGTGCATGCGGTTCTGCAACAGAGTGACGAGGCAGGTGAGCGTTGGTGTGAGGGGCCTGGCCCACCGCGGCCACCACACAGTGGGACAAGCCAAGGGAAGGTCCACCACCGCGGCCGGACGCACCACCGAGGGATGGAGATGGGAGTGGGAGGACCCACAAGGACAAATGGGACGTGGTCCCGCTTCATTCCACACGCAGGCAGGGTGGGGCGGAGCAGGGTGGGCAGGGAGGGGAATTCTGCCCCCACCCCCACCCCCCACCCCCAGGAGGGCTGACCCGGGAAGGGGCAGCAAGGTCACTGGAGGGACTCTGGCTCACAGAGAGGACATGCACCATGCACTCGGGGGCAGGGGCCGCACCACCACCCCACTCTCTACACGGAACTGAGGGCCATGCAGATTCCTCTAAGGGGTCTCATTCAGATTCGCCAGCGGGGGTGGGAGGTGCACGCATTCAGTTGGGGAACATTAACCGAGGACAAAGAGATCCTCGAATTAATCCGGAGTTGGAAGCAGACTCAAGGGGGACAGCCTCTGGGGGGTGATCTTGCTGTGACCTTGGTGAGGTTGGGGACTGGGCTGGTTGGCTGGGCCATGGCTGGGCAGGGGGTTGGCTCTGGGTGAGCTGCTATTGGGGCTGGTTTCTCAGTAGAGGGGCCAGAAGAACCCCGAGATGAAACTCAGCAAAACAGATTAAAACAGAGAGGAAGATAAAACCGTGAGAGAAAGACAGAAAAAAACCTGAAAAATTGGTTCAACCAGTGTTGGGGTCGGGAAGTCAAGGCAGGTCCATCCTGGGGCCCCTGTGCAGGCTCACAGAGGCCACGGCCACCCAGGGACGCAGACTGCGTGGCTGGAGATGGACGCGAGGGTGGGAAGGCCCAGCCCGAGCAGCGGCTGGTGAGTGAGATGCGAGTGGGGGGGCAGCACAGCAAAGTCACCCGCGGTGCCCGAGAACCTGCTGCTTTCAACTCTAGCTGACGGATTGAGTCGGAGGGAGGTGCTTCATACCTGCCCGGCTTGGAGGGTCTCTCAGAATCTGCTCATGGTTTTGGTCTTGGTTTGGCAAGTTAAGGCCCTGGGCGGTGGTGAGGTTGTGGCAGGCTGAGGCCCAGTGCTGCCGAAGCCACGGGGCTGGGGTACGAGGACAGGACGAGGCCCTGGGCTCCCGGGGTGCGGTGCACAGGGTGACCAGTGGGCGAGTGGGTAGCCACCAGCCGTAGGGCTCCTGGCGGAGCTCCAGGAGCCACCTCCAGACACTTGTCTTGGGCAGCCCGACTCGCCCCAGGCGAGGGAGGAACACGTACAGCAGACCAGAGAGGAAGCCGGGACCAAGGGCTGGTCAGGGGCTCTAGCTCTTGCTTTCAGGGCAGAGCGTCCGTAGCCCATAGCTTGTCCTTTAGCCACGTGCCTGGACAGAGGGGCCCGACCATGTGAGTCCTGCGTGCAGGCCCTCTGACCGCTCCCAGCCCACGCTCTTCACAGCCGCTCAAGAGGCTGAGCTCCCGCCATCACCATTTTAAAGAGCAGGAAGTGGAGTGTCTGCCACGTGACACAGTGGCAGGGCCAGCGCTGGACCCTGGGCCACATCTGCCCTGCTCCCAAGCTGCCCAGTGCTGCCGCCGTGTCCTGGACATAGCCATCGGCTTCGTTCTACAGCGACGGTGCTGATCTGCTGCCGCGGGCAACGAGCCGCCTTCCTGTGCTGCTGTCGAGTTGTACAGCCCATTCCCATCCCCGGGGGGCAGCTGTGCTTTCCGGGGCTGTATAGCTGGCCCGCTTTGGGGAGGAAAGGGCCCCAAGAGGAGCCCATTACTGGCCTGGGCCCATGTGCCTTGGCTTCCCCAAGGTCCTCTGCTCCAGCCCTGAGGAAGAAGGGCAAGGCAGGGGTCGGAGGGGGTGAGGGAAGGGCGGGACGGGAACAGAAAAGGCAGGGAAACCAGGAGCATGAGGGAAAGCACCCAGGACACATGCCCAGCTCTGCGGCAAGGGCTGGCGAGGAGTTTGCAGAGGGCTGGCCGGGCTGAACAGGGCACAGACTGGAAAGGTTGCCTGAGCTCAGGGCCTGGCATCTGCCCAGCCCCATGTTTAATGGAGACCTGAGGGCCACTTCCCTGTGACTGACGGGCCTGGGACTTGGGTTGGAGCTGTCCACAGGCCTGAACGGCAGGTCCCAGGGCAGAAGCCTGTTCAGGCGGAAGGCCGTCCCACTCTCCAACCCTTCCCTTTGTTTGAAACCCGTGCCCTGCTTCCCACTCCCAGGTACCGCAGGGGGCGAGAAGCCAAGTAGGTGGAGCTCAGATCACGGGGTGGCCAGTCAGACTGTGAACTGTGGCGTGGAAAGCACAGCGGACCGACGGACAGTGGCAGAGGTGCCGGGGCAGCCCCTGTGTGCGGCGGCATCGTGGGGGCGGCAGGAGCAGCCCTGGGCTTTGGTGCGGTCAGTGAGTCGGGTCCAGTCACAGCCCTGGGTGTGCGCCCATCCCCTGCCCACGCTCCACACGGGTGATCTCAGATGCCAGAACCCGCCGAGGTCACCAAGAGTGATGACGGCGTACCAGAAAGTGCTGCACGGCCGAGGCCCCAGAAGCCTCCCCCAGGACAAGGCAGAGCTTGGGGGGGCTTTGCTGAACCCCAACTCAAGGGGGCAGCTGGGCTGAAGGAGGAAGGGCAAGGTGGACAAGCCAGCATGTGGCGCGAGTCCGGACCTCCCTCCTAGGCCGCGGCTTCAGCCCCCAGCCCCCAGAAGCCCGTTGCGCATTGGCCCCTCAAGACGGCGGCTCCGTCCCACTACAGCACTGCCCACAGCCTGCCCCCAAAGCCCACCGGATCTTCACAGCACCCGCGGGACCATCAGGCAGGACGGATGAAAAAACAGCCCAGAGAAGACAAGCCTTGTTCAAGGCCCTCCTCAAACCTCAGTGCCGATGGAGAGGCTCAAGAGCCTGTACGTGCTGCAGACAGGAGCTGACTAATGCCAAGGTCGTGACCCCGGTGCCAAGGGTGTGACCCCACAGCCCAGGAGCCCCATTTCCAGGAGGTTCTGTGGGCTTGCTCCAGTGACCTTGAGGATACACCACACCAATGCCTGGCTTCCCTGGCAGGCTATGCGAACAGGCCCCCCACCCTGTGGACTGCAGACCAGATGGGGATGCTCAGTGGACCCCCAGGTGAGGACAATCCCCAGTGACAGTACAACCACCAACTCGGCACAGCTGTGTCAGAGAAAGTCCCCAGTACTCCATGCGGGCGCTCTCCCCCATCGCCAGTGACCCCACAGGTAGGCACTACTGTCACCCCCCAACACATAACAGTAGCTGAGGCGGAGAGGGTGCTGTCTGAATTCGGCAGCGAACCATGACTAGGACCAGAGACCAGCACCCTCACCAGGTGAGCGCCCCTGCCCCGCTGGGGCCAGGCTGGCTGTTCTGCGAGGCCCCGGACTGAATGCTACACATCAGAGGCAGGCACCTGGGCTGGCCGCCTCCAGAGGTGCCGCGGCCGCACGCTGCCCGGCCCTGCCCGCCGCCCGCTGCCCGCCGCCCGGCCCTGCACGCTCTCCCAGCAGCAGCCCAGCCAGTGCTCAGGGACACTGTCCGGGCCAAGAACTGCTCTCTGTCTGCCGCACATTCTTGCCAGAGGCGCCGATTCTCCTGGGACTGCACTGATTCAGTTCTGGCCGGACGGCCTCTGCCTCCGCCCTGTTTCCCAAAGACGCACTTGTGGCCCGAGACCCCAAGTTCACGGAGATGTCCGTGAGCCACCTGCCCATGGCCCTGTGGCTGCCTTTTCTGTACTGGTGTCACCAGGCATTTGCCTGACGGAACCCCCAGCCACTGCTGAACCATGTGGACCACCACGTGGTCTCACCTCAGTGCCCCACAGGCCAAGCGGGCGCAGGCCACTCACCGTGGTCTCGTCTTCATGGAGCACCTGGTCGTAGCCGCTGAGTGCGACACAGAAGATGATGGCCGTGACGTCCTCGAAGCAGTGGATCCACTTCTTGCGTTCAGACCGTTGGCCCCCGACGTCAAACAGCCTGCCAGGGAGACAGGGAAGCTGGGGTGGGGGCGGTGGGCTCCAGGCAGGTGGGGTGCCTGGCCAAACTCCGGGACAGGAGGAGAAAGGGCTGGGCACTTGCCCTGAGCCGCCCAGAAGCCCTGCTCCAGGAGCTAAAGGCAGACACTGCCATCTGCGGGGTGGGGGCCATCACTGCATCTGCCTGCAGCTGGGCTGGGCCTCCAACAGCGAGGCAAACACCTGCCCTCGCGCCTCCAGAGCTCTCCTGAGGGGGCACCTCATATGGGCCCTCAGAGACACTGCTGTGAGGTCCTTCCGTCGGGGCCAAGTGCACACCCTGCTCCTGGCTTTCTGAGCATGTCTGTTCACGTCTGTATTCTGGGCAAAGTCCCAACCACCCTGGGAGGGAGGCAGGCAGGGACCAGGGACCTGTCACCTGTCATGCAGAGGAAAAGTGAGGTCCCTACAGGCTAAGTGCCCAGGGTGCTGGTGAGGACTGGTGTGCAGAGCTGGAGTCTAAGCCAGGCCTGTCCTCAGACAAAGCCTCTGCCCTGTGCCACCTGTCCTTGGTCCATGGGTGCCTGCCTCTCCTCAGACACCACCCCCCAGAGGGCATGAGGGCTGTGGGAAGAGACGGGGCAGGTGGGGCCATGCCCTGGAAGTTAGATCTTAATCTCACACTCTGATGCCCCGAGCAAAGAGCTGCAGCCTCAGACCTGGGGGGCCTGTGGGCACACAGATCGGGGTGCTCGGCCCTATCTGCACAAGGACCCTGGGCCTCCAGACAGAGGACCGCAACCAGAGACCAGAGTGGGCTTGAAGTGAGGACGCAGGGCTGGTCCTCGCCTGTCACTGCCTACCCCAGGGTCCTGCTCCACCATGGCCCCGTGGCACCGACAGGGAGCTCCTCCGCAGATGTCTGCTGGGCCAGAGTCCAGCTCCCACCCTGTGCTCCGAGGGGAGAGGGAGAGACTGAGGAGACTGGGAGGCAAGAGGCCCCTCGTGGGGCTGCTCAGCCCATTTCTGGGCTCCGCGTTCGGAGCCTGGAGCACCTGCACCCAGGGCACAGGGCGTTATACCTGTCACCCTCCTGGTCTCTCCTCCTGCTCCACCCGACACCCAGAAACCATACCCAGAAACCATACCCAGAAGGCAGGTGGGGGCCAGATGGGGGCTCCTAGGCCTCAGTGCATGAAGGCCACCCCAGGTGGCGACACAGCCCCCGGCAGTGTCTGAGAAGTCCAATCTCACCCCTTAGGCCCGTTCTGAGGCCCTCCGCGGGCTCCAGCTGTGTTCTGTGCTTGGGATAGCCTTGCTCCTCCCAGGCCTCAGTTTCCCCATATGTGCTGAGAGAGGGTGGGTCAGCGATCCTTAAGCTCCTTCCAGTGCTCAGGTTACACGGGTCCTTGGGGTCTCACAGATATTGTTTGGGTTACCCACCCTCATTCCCCACCACTCCCCACAAGGCGGCCTCGAGGGGATCCAGCTCTCCTACGTCAATTTCACCTCCTCGATCCTCAGAACCCCACTCCAGGACCCCTCTTCCAGGAAGCCTCCCTGCTGACCCCCGCCCTAAACTTAGTGGAAAGCAGACCTACAGACAGGTCCCTTCTCATAGCTAACTGCCTGTCCTGACACGAAAGCTCCTGAGGCAGGTGGACATCTGGGGCTGAGGCCCAGAGGCTGGCATCTCCCCTCTCTCAGTGCCCTGGCTGGGGCTCGGAAGTCCCCTGGGCCTTACCTGAAGTGAAGGTTCTTGAATGTGAAGTGGGTTTCTACGATGCCGGTAGTTTTGACCCTGGTTCGGAGGATGTCCTGCTCAGTGGGCTGGTAGTCGGTGGCCCCGATCCGATCCAGGCTGTCCAGGTAGCTGGGGATGGCAACAAGGGGACCATGGACAAGCTCTGGGCACTGCTCGGGGCTTGCTGGGCCCACCCCTTCAGAGCCTGGTCCCTGCCCGGCCCCTCGAAGGCCACTGTGGAAATGATGGCACCAGCCTGTCCAGGGCCAGGTGTGTGGCAGGGGTGGGTGCACATCCTCCGAGAGCCTCTAATTCGGACCACAGGGCCTCTGTGCAGTCCACTCAGACAGCATCAGACGTCTCCAGGAGACTGACATGTCATAATGCTGCTGGCGTTTCTTTCTACTTTTTTTCTTTTACATATTTTTTAATTGTTTTTTTTTAGAAAGAGAGAAAGAGAGAGAGAAACATCAATTGGCTGCCTCCTGCATGTCCCCTACTGGGGATTGAGGGTGCCCTGACTGGGAATCGAACCAGGACCCCTCAGTTCATGGGATGATGCCCTATCCACTGAGCCACACCAGCCGGGCTGCTCTGTCATTTCTTCATGACAAAATAGTAATGGGCAACAATTGGGCTCTATTCTTCTCACATGTGTGATCACGTTTCATCTTTAATTTCCAGGTTAAATGTACTGTTCTGGAGATTACAGAACTCAGGGTCAATGGAGGTCAGCACCTTGCCCAACTGTGAGCTGGACCTTGAACCCGGAAATCTGGCCCCAGAGCCCATGCTCTGCCCTGTCTCTACAGTGCTACCAAGAGGCCTCGGGCCTCCCTTTTACACTTGTACACTTCTGAGAGTTTATCGAGAGGTCCACGGGCTTCTTCCCATTTGATGCTCTTGGAAGGGACGGTCAGAGGTCACATAGCTGGACAGCAGCTGGGCCTCCCCGGGACAGGTCCTTCCCATCATGCCACTACTTCTAGGGACAAACCAGGCCTTTGTAACCCACTAGCCCAAGCCAAGCCCCAGGAAGGGCTTTGGGGTCTGTACGGGTTGGGTTTGAACTCAAGGGTGGGATTTGGGAGACCAGGAAGGAGGGTGCTGGGTTGGGAGCCCCCAGGGCTGTCGGGCATCCATTCCTTGTGCCTGGGGGTGGGGAGCCACACACAGTCCACAGGGGAGGATCCCGGGATGTCTGAGGACATCACTAGAGACGTCTGGAGTGACAGCTGCAGCGGGCAGTCCTGTGATCCTGCCATCACAGGCTGGGTCCCAGGCCCCTCTCAGCCACCTTCTCTGGCTCTTACTGGGCCTCTTCACAATGTCCCCCCTCCCCTCCCCCTCCCTGCCCTTTCCCCTCTGCTTCTCCCTTCCCGCCCTCTCCTCCCCTTCTTCTGTCTCCTTTCCTTCCCCTTACTGAGTAACAACCCGGTATTAAAGTATATGTTTGATTCTCTATTATACTTATTGTATGGGTTACATTTCCTTACTTTTAACTTTAAAGACAGAGGAATGGGAAGTTTATTTTCTCTACAATAAAACAAAATGGTTATTTTCTGCCTATATGGCTCTTGATTTGTCTCTGGGGCGAGGCGTTCTCCAGAGCAAGCAGGTCATGGGCCAGGCTGTCCCGGGAGGAGTTCTGTGGCTTGGTTTATCTGGTGTCCCCCCACCCCTGGCCTGTCCCTCCCCATCACCTGCGGTGGAACATCTCCCAGTGGCTCTGACCGCAGCCCACCGTCCCCAGCCCTCCTCGCCTGGGTGCCGCCCCGCCCGCCACCCTCCTGCCGGGACGCTCACTATTTGGCAGAGTCGTTGAGCTGATATTCCCGGGACCGGCTGAAGCACTCCTGGATCCCTGAGTCGCCCCAGAGTCGCATCATAGCAGACAGCAGTTCTGGGGAGAAGGGCTCAGTGTCTTCCATCCGACTCACTACGTCACACACCATCTTGGCATCGGCCTGTGAGGAGAGGTGGGTGGTAGCTTTGAGGCTCGGTGGGGACAGAAGGCCTGGCTGGGCACCTGCCAGGGCACCAGGACAACGCTTTGCTCTAGGCCTGGTCCGGAGAAGTGGGCCACTATCGGACACCCCTCGTGCCTCTGGACTGGGGCAGTCTGGTTTCCGAGGCCCTGGCCGTGAGTGTCTCTGTGCCAGCCTTCAGGAACTTCCAAGCAGTGGTTTCCAACCTGGCCTGCAGCCCTCGGGTCCCTGTGGGCAGGAGGGGGTGCGCAGGGTTCTGCTCCACACCTTCCAACACCACCCGAGCAGCCCTGCTTCCCTTCATTTTGAAAACTGGGGTTTTGCACAGTGTTTCTGGGAAATCCAATGTTCTTGGCTAATGTCATTTTCTATACTTCTTACCCTAGGCGGAGCAAAGTCTCTGGACCTTTCTGGTTCTTTGAGAACTTGGGTGGCAGAAAGACGGGGGCCAAGGAGGCTGTGTCTGCAGCTGGTGCCCATGGGGAGTCGCCTCGCATCGACTGAGTCTCCAGAGCTACCCCTTGGGTGGCCCAAAGCTAAAACCCTATTTTATTAATGTTAGTACTTATTTGCCCTTGACCTATGCCTGCTCTTCCCTGGGGGTGGGGTGGGGAAGCCTGGCTAAACAAGGGAAGGGTAAAGGGGTGAGTGATGAGATGCAGAGCCCACCCTTTCTCTGCTGCCAGGTCCTCCCTCGCTGGGTGGGTGGGAAAGTGTCACTGACTTGAGGTGTACACGTTGGGGCTGAGACCCCACTGAAATTGTATAAAAAGGACTCCATAATTCACAGCTGTCTTCTCCCCCCACCAATCTGGGACACCACACAGGGTGACCTATCCTCAAAGATTACAAACACATGCATGAAACACCAGACCCAGGAAGGTGGGGCCCTGAAGACTCAGGAGGCTCTTGAAGTCGAGGGACCAGCATGGTGCACTTGTCAGTTTGCAAGGGACATTCCTGGGCACACACGACTTGCTTCGCATTTCACAGCTGCCTCATGAGGGGCTGTGGGAGCCTGCGCCATGGGCCCGGGTCCTCGCCAGGTCTGTGTCCTTGCTCTCTGCCCAGTACTTTTGCAGTTCCTCTCCCTCCAAGGACATCCTGCCTCCCTCCTTGGCTGTGACTGTGGCCCATGGGAAGACGTGGCTGTTCCGCACCTAGCCCTTAAGCGGCCTGGCACGTCTGGGCCACTGTCATCACCATGAACAGGTCCAGGCTCCCAGTCATCCCAGGAAGAGGACAAGGGACACACACAGTGGAGCTGAGCCCACCTGGGTCACGGATCCCCAGCTTGTAAAGCAATGACTGCTGCTCTAAGGGATTGAGTTAGGACAGGTGTGTGAGAAGCACTGTGTGACAACAGCTAACCAGTTCAGTGGTCACTGTAAGTGTCACCATCCCCATTTTATAGGCTAAGAAACTGAGGGCCAGAGAAAGAAGGCACCCACCTGTGCTCACAGGTGGTAAGTGGCAGAGCTGGGACTCTGATCAGGAGCCCGACTCCAAGGCCAGCCTCTGCGGTCAGACCCCCAGGTGCTGGGAGCCCTCACCTGCCACAGCACCTTGGACAGCAAACTATACCTGACAGGACCACGCGAAGGACGCCACGTGTCACTAAAAGAGCCATGCTACTTCGCTTCCTGAAATGACCTCCAAAGTAAACCCCTGGTCTCGGGGTTGGCTCCTAGAGGAATCAAACCAGGACAACAAGGTGGCTGCCTGAGCCCTGGCCCCGGGCAAACTCTGTTGTTCACTGAGTCTGCACGTGTTTCTCCACGTGACAGGTCCTTGCTCAGAACACCCCGACCCCAAAGATGGAGCCTTCCCACTCTGGCCCGTGGCTGGAGTGCATGGTGAGCCAGAGCCCTGGGGATGGCTGGGAGTGGGGTGCACCAGGCCGACCATCTCCTTAGCCTCATGGGCCCCCCAGATTTGGGGTCTTTAATTCATGGGCATAATAGTTACTACTGGACAATTACAGTCGTCCCTCGCCACTTCGCGCTTCGACTTTTGCTTCACTCTCTCGCGGTTTTTCAAATATAGCATAGTATTTAGTACAGTATCTGAAAACACCCGAGAGAGTGAAGCCGGGAAAGTCGAAGCGCGAAGCGCCAGGGACGACTGTGTATAAACAAAGAATCCTACGTTGCAGAAATTCACTTATTGCGGTAGAGTCTAGAACGGATTAACCGGATAAACGAGGGCCGACTGTACTCTACTCAAACCCTCTCAAGCCCCTGCCCTGTGACTAAGCTGGAGGAGAGCCAGACCCCCAGGCCCCGACACATGGCTCAGGAAGTGAGCGGGAAGGGCTGCGATCCGCAGATGTCCTGTGGGGTGGGAGATGAGGTCAGGACCTGGGAGATGTGTGGCTGACAAAAGATTCTCTGCAAATGGCATGTGGGACGAAAGCCTTCTGGGAAGGCTTTTCCAGAATCGAGCTGCCCAGCTAAGCAGCTGTTTTCATACCAAGGCCTGCCGGCTGTAGGTCGATGAGAGAGTTCTGGCAGCTCTGGCCCCTCTGCACGCTGGCCCTGGGAAGGAAGCTACCGCTGGCCTTAGGCCAGCAGGCCAAGCCCACAATACTACCCAGATCCAGGTCCCCAGACCCCAGCCCTCGGATTTCTGAGCCACCTTCAACTGTCCACCCAAAGGGCTAGGTTCCCAGATTCCCAGGTCGGAGGTAAGTTTCTCCAGCATCTGAGCCTCCCTTTGGGCATCAACCTGGACAGCTGGCCCTGGGGCATGGGCCCCGGGTGCCCCAGGCAGGCAGTGACTCAGGGAGGCGGGGTGGGTGAGCAGGGGTAGTGCCTCCCCCTGGCCGAGGCCTGTGGGGGGGGCCTGCAAGCATGCTGCCCCAGGGGGCTGGGTGGCCTTTCCCGGCTCTTACTCCGCTCGTCCTGAGAAATGCAGCCTGTGGACCTGGCCAGACCTGCCCACACTTCCTCCTTTGGGCTTCCAGCCAAGGTTTCTGACAGACCTGTGAGAAGGGCCTGAGGGGTGGGCAGGGCAGCTGACTTCCTGCTGGGTGAGGGACACTCCAATCTGAGCGCCCAGAGCCTCATGCCACCTCCCAGGGAGGCGACAGTGAGGGTGTGCTTTACAAGCCTCCACAAAGCCACCCCGTCCTCCTGTCTGTCCCTCCGTGCGTGCCCTGGTTGTGGGAGCCCTGCTCCAGCGGGGTGTGCCACACAGCTCGGTGCAGGCTGGACTAGGTGACTTCCGGAATCTCCAGGGCTCAGCCAGGGGTCCGAGGCTGTCCTCCCAGCTCTCTCATCACCAAGGGAAGGTGGGGGCGGTGAGCGTTCTTGTGCTGGTGCCCCCCCCCCCCCCACCGTGGCTTCTCTCAGGGATTCCCCAGCTCAGTGTACGGTTCCACCTGCTCAGACAGACCAGGAGTCACTCTGGGCTTGGGCCCTTCCCTCCAGTGTCTGGTGTCCTGTTGGTTTTTCCTTCAAATCTGCTTCAGTCGGTCCACTTCTCCCCGTCTCCTCTTGCGCATCCCCGAGTCCAAGCCTTTGCCGTCTTTCTCCTGGCTGCCCCATCTTCCCTCCCCAGGGCTCCCTGCCCCCCTTTCTCTCCTCTCCAGTCTGTCCCCCACACAGCAGCCAGCAGGAGATCGGCACTTGCCTCCTAACATCAATTCTTCCCTTCACCCTCAGAAAAAGAACCACAAACATTTCTAACTGGCATCCAACTACAAGATTGCATTCCCTCATTTTGTCTGTAGCTAGGTGTGACAATGTGACAAGTTCTACCCACGAGAGGTAAGCCAAAGGGTAGTGAGGTCCTCAGAAAAGTCTTTTTAAAGGGAAGGCGCATCCTTTTTCTCTCACTGCTTCCTGGACCTTGGATGTGATGGCTGGAGCTCTAGCAGCCAATCTGGATAATAAAGACACGGTCTACAACTTGGGGACAGCGAGAGAGTAATTTAAAAACAGTTTAGGTCCTTGACAACTGTGTGGACACTCCACATCATCTGGACTTCCTCTTTTACATTTAAAATAAACCTGTATGTTATTTAAGTCATTATTTTCTGAGTCTCAGGCATTCATAGTCAAACCTAATCCTAGTGGATGGAATGACTCCTATTTAAATGCTTTCAATACTGTCCCGTCATTCCTAAACTCCAAACCCCTTCCCTTGGCCTCCAAAGCCCCTCTCTGTCTTAGTCCTTAGTCTCCCCCCCGTCCCTCTCGGGAGATCCAAGCACATGGCCCTCTGTTCCCCCAGTCAACCAGGGCAGCCTCACTGCTGGGCTTCCCATCGGCCCAGGCCATCCTTCCCTGGCTCCTCCCCATCTCAAATGTTGCTTCTTCAGGGAAGCCCTCCTTGGTGCCCCCAGGCAGAGTCTGGCCCACAGTACACCAACCACCCCTGCCACAGCTGGTGGATGTGTCTGTTGCTCAGGGCAGGGACGGTTTCCTGGTTTCCACGATGCCCTGGGTCTCTCGCAGTGTTTAGTGCAGATCTGGTGCTCGGCACCATCTGCGAGATGAATGCAACCTTGGCATTTCCTATCAGGCATGGCCCTGATGTCTCACTCCGTCCATCTACCCCAGACAATTCCCATCTTGTCGATTTCCACAGATTTGCATCTAATTTAATCACAACAGCAACTCTATCTGGTAGCCATCCTGTTGAACAGACGAGAGACTGAGGCTCAGAGGTGATGTCACTTGCTGCACATCACACGCCTAGTTAGCAGAAGAGCCTTCTCTCCTGCCCTCCAGCCAACAGCCCCGACTTGCATCTCAGACAAGGCCTGGCCACTCAGAGCCAGAGCTGAGGACTCAGTGGTGCCCTGCCCAGGCCCCTGAGCAGAGGGAAGGGAGATGGGTAAGAAGCATAGGAGGGAAGGAGGGACTTAGCCAATTTGCCCTGGAGAACTGTGAAGGGTGCCAGGCTGGGCCCAGCCCTGTGGGTGCCAAGCTTAACAAGCAATTAATGGAGCCAAAGGAGGCCCTTGTCTCTTT